TGTAGTGCCCACCGCCTCTCTGCCCTCCCTACCCTCTTCCATGGGCCTCTTGTCTGCGCTTGGCTCCAGATAATCCATTCTGCTAGTCTTTTGGTGGTTTTCTGGGTTATTTAGGCAGGTGTAGGTGGAATCTGGGTGATCAGCATGACGTGGTGAGCCCAGCGTCCTCCTATGCACCATCTTCCCTTCTCACCCCTTAACATTTATTTTTGAGAGAGAGAGACAGAGTGCGAGCAGGGAAGAGGCAGAGAGAGAGAGGGAGACACAGAATCCAAAGCAGGCTCCAGGCTCTGAGCTGTCAGCACAGAGCACTACGTGGGGCTCCAACTCATGAACTGTGAGATCATGACCTGAGCCAACTTCGGATGCTTAACCAACTGAGCCACCCAGGCGCCACAATACAAGTATGTAGTTTAAAAAGTCTAATACTACTACATAGCTCATATAACCCAGCAGTCTCCTGCTCCATGACTTCCACCCCGGAATTCCTAATCCATCTTTAACTTTTTCTCTTTCAGTTATCTTTTCTGGTGTTTACTTGGAATTTTGACACTGTTGTTTGTTATTGTCTTCCAGCTTTTGATATTCTTGATCATGGAAGGTTTTAGGACTTTCTATCCCTGGAGTTTTGAAATTTCATGATAATGTAACTTGGTGTGGGTCTTTTTTTTTCCATCGCTGCCCTTGGCTTTCAGGGCAGGCATCCTTTCAATCTGATAGCCTTCAGTTATGAGGAGTTTTTTATATTGTTTCTTTGATAGTATTTTTCCTGCATTCTTGCTTTTTCTCTTGAATTTTCATTTTCTTATTTTTGTTTTCTGTTTTCAATCCCTGTTTTCAGGAAGTCTGTCTAAACTTTGTCTTCTGAACCATTAGTTGAATTATTTCTGCTGACCTTTTTTTATTGCTAAGATTTTTTTTTTTCTTTTCTGAATCTTTTCTTACTTAAAAATTTTTTTTTTTTCTGGAGGCACTATCTTTATCTTTTATCTGTTTGAGGATATTACAGTATTTTGAAGTTTCCTCCTTTCTCCCTAGAGTTCCTATTTTTGTTTATTTTGATCTCTTTCATTTTGGTGGCTTTGTTGAAACATTTGAAGAGCCTTAGATCATATTTAAGAGTGGTCATATAGAGCTACAACTTTTAGCCTCAGTATTTCTTTTCCTTGGATCTGGTCATTTTTACCAGACAGCTTGTCTGTGGGAAGGAGAGGTAAATAAACCAGGCTGCCAATATTTTGGGAGCCTACAGAGAGAGTCCTCAAGAGGCTTACCGTTCCTTATGCAGATTTCACCTAACTCCTGGGTTGTCAGTGAGAGACTGTCCCCTTCTTCTGTTACACCATTCCTCAACCCTGCAGCTTAGTCTCTCCAGAGAGCAAGCCTCCTGTTTTCTGCAGGAGGTCAGTTGTTGAATTTTGAGGTTGGGAAACAGGACACAATTACTTCTGTAGATTTTCAGCCTATCTGCCATTTTTGTTGTCCCATTTCTTTTTTTTTTTTTTTTTAATGTTTATTTAGTTTTGAGAGAGAGAGGGACGCAAAGTGTGAGTAGGGGAGGGGCAGAAAGAGAGGGAGACACAGAATGCAAAGCAGGCTCCAGGCTCTAAGCTGTCAGCATAGAGCCTGATGCAAGGCTCCAACTCATGAACTGTGAGATCATGACCTGAGTCAAAGACACTTAACCAACTGAGCCACCTAGGTGCCCCTTTGTTGTCCCATTTCTGATGAATAATTCCTGATCCACTTGGGTCAGCTTGCTTTCTAGTAACTTCCTCAATATAGGTAATTAGATTTCAAATTTCTTCATTCACTTCAATCAGCTACCACTCACTGTTTCTACTGCTAAAATTTTTTTAGCAGCTGCATTGTTTTCTGTTAGCTCTGTTTTGTGAATTTATTCATTTTTAGCTTCTTACTTTCATGTTAGTGGCATTTTAGGAGAGAGCACTGATAAACTTATGTGCTCAATCCCATATTTTTTCCTGTTTTTTTTTCATGAATCCAAGAATGTCTGTATTCTGTGGGAAATTACTATCATTTTCTAGTTGTAGAAATGAAAAGGAATAAAAAAAGTTAAAAGTGACTGTAGATTTGTTAAGTGTTACATATAGGTATCTCACAGTAAATTAAGTACAAAATATTGTTGAACAAAGAACAATAAATTAATTAATCCAAATTGTTTTAAACCAGAACTGTTTCCATATAATATAGTGTTAATTGATATTTAATGTGTATCTTTAGACATTATGAAATACTTTTTAAAAGTTATTAAAGAATTAAATTATAATTCCCATAAAGTGTTAATAGAGTGTCATAGCATAGCTGCAGATTTTTTCTTTATTGAGACACAATTAACATATAATGCATGATAGTTTTTAAACAATTGTTAATACCTGCACTGCATACATGGCATTAACTGAAAACTCCTGTGAGAACTCTGCTTAAGCAAGTAAGGGAATTCATTGACTGATGAAACTAAAATGTCCTTGCACCGTCCCTCCATTTCTTACCTGCTGTGTTGCTTTTACTGTCTTCAAGTGTTCTTCCTGACAGCCTGCTTTGCCGTGGTCCCAGCTTAAGTTCAATAGAAAGGGAGAATTTTCCTTCCTGATAGTTAACTAGAACTCTAAAATGGAGTTATTCTGGCCATGATAGAGATCACATGCCCAAAATCAGTGGCCATGGGAATGTGAAACTTTTGACTAGGTCAGCGGCACATACCTGGAACCAGGCATAAAGTAGTTCCACTCAAAACATGGTGGTAACTAGGGAACATAAATGTTACTAGAAGAAAGGAAAAATAGGTTATTAGACAGTAAGAAACAGTACTCATCCTTTACACCTGTTTCCCAGCCATGCAACTACAACTACATTTTAACCCAACAACTACATTTTTCACCCAGTTTGAGTAGTTGCTGATGACACTCCAGAGAGGCTTTCCTATTGTAAAGATAAAAGAGTATATATATGCAACAAGTGTTAAGCCAGCATTATGGTAAAGTACTTTATGATTTTTATTTTTCCTCCTCTTTGATTGTATATGCTTCTTGCCCTAAATTATCTATCAGTTGGATTCATTTTGTGATTCATTGTGGTTAATTGGATTTCTCACTCTCAAGGCATCCAAGTCAAGAAGGCACCGTCAAGTCAAACTTGACTCTTCTGACTCTGATTCTGCATCTGGTCAAGGACAGATCAAAGCAACTAGGAAAAAAAGAAATAAAGAAACATTGAAATCAGCAGGAAGGAAGATGTCTTCCAAAAACAGAGGTAACTTTTTAAAGTCTTTTTGAGACTCAACAAGGGATAATGGGTCTTATTCAAAGCCTCCCCTTACCATTTTTTTTAAGTTATATTCCTATTTTATTTTAATTTTTTAAAAATTCTAGGGGCGCCTGGGTGGCGCAGTCGGTTAAGCGTCCGACTTCAGCCAGGTCACGATCTCACGGTCCGTGAGTTCGAGCCCTGCGTCGGGCTCTGGGCTGATGGCTCAGAGCCTGGAGCCTGTTTCCAATTCTGTGTCTCCCTCTCTCTCTGCCCCTCCCCCGTTCATGCTCTGTGTCTCTCTGTCCCAAAAATAAATAAAAAACGTTGAAAAATTCTTTATTTAAAATTTTTTTAAGTTCATTTATTTATTTTGAGAGAGAGAGAGAGAGACAGAGAGAAAGAGTGACATAGGGAAAGGGAGAGAGAGAATCCTAAGCAGGCTCCATGCTGTCAGCACAGAGCCCAATGCAGGGCTCAAACTCACAAACTGAGATCATGACCTGAGCTGAAATCAAGAGTTGGACACTTAACCAACTGAGCCACACAGGCACACCTATATTATTCTTTTAGAATATGTATGTTGTGTGATAATTATGGCCTTAGACAATTTTACAGAACAAATACATCCAATGAAAACTGGACAAATTTACAAAGATAAACATGAGGCTAATAAAGCTATTACATCATATCAAACTTACCTATTTTTTCTTTATTAAAAAGGATTAGACACTTGTTTGAGAACCTTGTGAGATTTAATGTAAATAAATTAGTTATCTTAGATTCTTAGAATCTTACTGCTGAAAGGGACTCTAGGAGTCATCAAATTCATCATTTCATAGACGATGAGATTCAGTTCAGGTCCATACAGATTAAATAACTTGTCCAAAAGTCACGTAGCTATATAATTATAGAATCAGACTAGAATTTCCAGAGCATACTTTATTAGTAATTTTTGTGTGTGAAATAATGTATTCTATAAACTGTATTTCCCTTTAGCTGCATTAGTTAAGATGTACCTTTTCTTTTAAAATAGTGTGTCTATAAAATTAACCTTGGTATGTGATTCCTAAAGAAATTACATTTTAATAGTTTAATTTTTAAGAAATTACATTAAGTATTACATATTCACCATACATACACACATAGCAGACTCAGGAGAAAATAAAAAAAAGCATTAGAAGCATTAGTAAATATTCAGTCTAGTATAAAACACTCCCAGCTTCTAGAGCAGTATATGAAAATATGTTACAGCCTTTTAGCATTGTTTTCCTTCTTATACTGAGGCAGTAGAAGGGGAACTGAAGTTAAATTCCTTTAACATAGTTCAGATATGATTAAGTTCAGTAACAGTTGCTTGAAGAACACTGAACATTCAGAGGAACAGATACCGTATTTGTTAAGGATAATCAGGAAATACTTCAAAAGCAGATTTCTTTAGTTCTTTTTTACGAGGCTAGCAGATATTGGGAAGAGAACTGTTAGACCAATCTCACTTATAAGTATTACTGATAAAAAAAATTCCTGTTACATGTATCAGAAGAATCCCAGATATAAAACCACTTGACTGGGGTACCTGGGTGACTCAGTGGGTTAAGTGTCCAACTCTTGATTTTGGCTCAGGTCATGATTTCATAGTTCTAGAGAATCAAGCCCTGTGTCGGGCTGTGTGCAGACAACCTGTTTGGGATTCTGTCTCTCCCTCTGTATCTGCCCCCAGCCCCACTCACACATGCTCTCTCTCTCAAAATAAACATTAAAAAAAAAAAGAAAAAAAAACACCTTGGTGCATTCATTCCAGGATGCAGGGATAGTGCAATTAGGAATCTCAATATAATTTGCCATATAAATAGGTTAAAGAGGAAAATGTAAATTCATTATAACACTTACCCAAGAAGATGTTTGATAAAATCTAGCATCCATTCTTGATTAAAAGAAGAATCCTCTAAATTAGGGGGTTAGCAAAACTGTTGTAAAGGGCCAGAGGGTAAATATTTTAGGCTTCATGGGCTGTCTGATTTCTGTCACATCTACTCAATTCTGCCATCGTAAGGTGAAAGTAACTACAGACGATATAGAAATAAATGAGTGTGTTTCAAAAAAAGTGTGTTACAAAAACAGGTGGTAGGCCAGATTTAGCCTGGGTCCATAGTTTGTCAATCCCTGCTCCAGATAAAAGAAGTAGATGGTTATTTCTTTAACTCAGTTTTAAAAAGTGTATGTCAAAAGGCCACCTCATGTTTGTTGGTAATATATAGAAGTATCACAATTGTATTTAATATTGATCTTGAAGGGCTAGGCCTATTAGTGTAATTAGGCAGGAGAGTGAAGTGAGATATGCTTTTTTATAAAGGTTATAAAATTACCATGATTTATAAATGACTGATTTTATGTTTAAAAGTATCTTAAAGAGAATTCACTGAAAAGAAAATAGTAACAAAAAATTTAGTAAGGTAAGGGATACTACTGTGGACCTTACAGAAATTAAGAGGACAATAAATAAAAATTGGGAATACCCTTTTTAAAAAAATATTTATTTATTTTGATAGAGAATGTGTGAGTGGGAAAGAGGCAGAGCCTGATGTGAGGCTTGATCCCCCAAACCATGAGATCATGAGCTGAGCTAAAATCAAGAGCTGGACACTCAACTGACTGAGCCATCCAGGTGTCCCTGAATACTTTTGTGCCAATAAGTTAGATAGCTTAGATAAAATGGATATATTTTTTAAAAGACATTTCCAAAACCAATACAAGAAGAAATAGAGAATCTGAGTAGTTCTATGTTTACTAAAAAATTAAATTCCCAGATGGCTTTGCTGGGAATTCTAGCAAACACTTAAGAAAGGAATACTGTCAATCCTGTTCTTTCTGAAAAAACAAGAAAGAACACTTACCAGCTTATTGATACTATAAGAAAAGACAACTAAAGACCAATATCCCTCATGAAAGTAAATGTAAAAATCCTTACAAACTGTTAGCAAGTTGAATCCAACAGTATATTAAAAGGACAATTTGGTAGGACAAACTAAGGTTTATCCCAGGAATATCAGGCTGGTTTATTTAGGAAATAAACCAACATAATTCACCAAATTAGCAGAATAAAGGAGAAGGACTATATAATCATCTCAATAGATACAGACAAAATATTTGACAAAATCCAGCATCTACTCATGATAAAAGCTCTGGGAAAATTAGTGTTAGAAGGGAACTTCCTCACCCTGATAAAGGACTTCTGTGAAAAACTGTAACTAACATCATACTTAATGGTGAGACCATACTTTTCCCCTAAAATTGGAAACGAGGCAGGGATGACTGCTTGTTGCTCCTCTTACACATCATACTGGAGGTCCTAGCCAGTGAAGTAAGGCAAGAAAAGGAAGAATAGACATTTAGATTGGAAAGGAGGAAATAATACTATGTCTGTTTGCAAATGAAATTATTTCTTACACAGAAACTCTCAAAAAATCTACACAGTAGCTACCAGAACTAATAAGTGAGTTTAACGAGGTCACAAGGTGCAGGGTTAGTATTTCTCTGTGCTAGCAATGGAATAATTGTCAACTGAAAAAAATGTTACAAAGTATAACACCCAAAACACCCAATAACACCCAAACCACAAAATACCGTGGTATATAGGTAACAACATATGTTCAGGATCTGCATGCTGAAAACTACAAAACGATGAAAGAAATCAGAAAAATTAAGCAAATAGAGGGATAATATGGACTTCATGGATTAGAAGACCCAATACGTTAAGAGTCAACTAATCCCAAATTGTTCTGTAGCTTAAATGGAATACCAATAGAGTTATTTTTTATAAATTAACAAGCTAATTCTTAAGAATATAGGGAAATGAAGAGAAACCAGAGTAGCCAAAACAGTTTTGAGAAATAACTGTAAAGCTTCAGAAATCAAGACTGTGCTCTCTGCAAAAAGACAGACATACAAGGTAATGGAAAAGAATAAGACATCCTAGAAATAGATCCATACTTCAATTTTATATTCATATGCAAAAAACAGACCCTCAACTCATACCTCTCATCATTTACAGAAATTAATTTAAAATGATCACAGACCTAAATATAAAACCTAAAATTATGAAACTTATAGACAAAAACATAGAAAATGTGGTCTTAGATTGGGCAAAGACTTTTATACATGACATAATAAATACTAGCCATAAAGGGAAAAAATTGACAAATTGGACTTGCCTCAAATTAAAATTCTTTGGAAGACACTGTTAAGAAAATGAAAATACCAGACTACAGACTGGAGAAAATATTTGTAAAATACAGACCTGATGGAGGTCTTGTATCCAAATATATAAAGAACCGTCCAAACCTAATAATAAACAAACAACCCAATTAAAAAATGGGCAAAAGATTTGAGCAGACACTTTGAAAAGAATATATAGATGGCAAATAAACATATCAAAAGATGTTTGACATCTTATAGTTATTAGGAATACAAATTAAAAGCATAGTGACATTCTATTTTCCCTGTTGGAATGGCTACAAAAAACAAAAAACAAAACAAAAAAATTGGCAATAACAAAAGCTGATAAGGACACAAAACAGTTTGAACCTTCGTAGATTTCTGGTGGGAATCCAGAATGGTGTATAATCACTTTAGAAGACTGGCAGCTTCTAATAAAATTAAACACACAACTTAACCATATGACCCAGGAGTCCTACTACTCCTTGGTATTTACCCAAGAGAAATGAAAAATTATATATTCACATAAAAATTTGTATGTAAAAGTTTATAATGGTTTCATTCATAATTGTGAAAGATTGTAGACAGCTTATATATCTTCAACTGGTCATTGGATAAACCAACCGTGGAGTAAGCATCCAGTGGATACTATGCAGGAATAAAGAAACTACTGATAACATGAAATAGCATGGGCGACTTATATGCATTGTGCTAAATACGGTGCTAAATACATGAAGGAAGACCGATACAAAAGGCATATAAGACATTCTGGAAAAGGCAAATCTGTAGGG